ATCCACCCGCCTCGGCCTCCCAGAGTGCTAGGATTACAGGCGTGAGCCACCGCGCCCGGCCTGCCTCTAAGGTTTTATGAGCACAAGACCATTTTAATTTTTTTTTTTTTTTTGAGACAGAGTTTCACTCTGTTGACCAGACTACAGTAAGGTGGTGTCAGCCTAGTGCACAGCAACCTCAAACTCCTGGGCTCAAGTGATCCTCCTGCCTCAGCCTCCCAAGTAGCTGGGACTACAGGCATGTGCCACTGCGCCCGGCTGATTTTTCTATTTTTAGTAGAGACGAGGTCTCATTCTTGTTCAGGCTGGTCTCGAACTCCTGATCTCAAGTGATCCTCACTTTGGCCTCCCAAAGTGCTAGGATTACAGGCGTGAGCCACTGTGTCCAGCCATTTTGTTAATTTTTGAACTTAGTGATTCCTGGATTGAGCAGGGAATGTAAATTCATATCCCAAACCCTAATAAAGGCAGATTTCTATATATAAAGTTTAGTGGAGGCCTCAACCTCACCGGAGACCAAGCCCAGAAAAACAAGTTTCTTTGTCATCAGTATATGCCAGTGGAAAATTTGTTCTAATCTACCCTTTCACATCAATCTCCCTTTGAGGTTTCCAGCTTTATGTAAAGAAATCTCACAAAGGTCCCATGGACTCTAGGCCTTTTTCTTCTCAGTGTAGGAATTAAAACCAAGTTCCTGGCATGTCTACTCCTGAGCAGTAACAGCTTATTGAAATCATCCAGGTGCACTGTAATATTAATTTCAATTTATGGCTCTAATTTATAGTTACATCTCTTTACTTTTAGTCCATAAGAATTATCCTTTTTGGAGCTTACATATGCTTTTAAAAGAGTATTTGTTATAACTTACCTAGCATTTCCAAGTGCTTCTTAGTAGGTGAGTTTTTAGGTTATATAATCCATTGTACAACCATCCATAACTGTCAATCTGATTTTTTTTTTTTAAGAGACAGGGTCATGCTCTGTCACCCAGGCTGGAGTGCAGTGATGTGATCATAGCTCACTGCAGCCTCCAACTCCTGGGCTCAAGCGATCCTCCCACCTCAGCCTCCTGAGTTGCTGGGACTACAGGTGTGAGCCACTGTGCTCCACCGTAATTTTTACAATTCTTTAAAGGTATGTTCTCCGACCCTCACTCTCCTTTTCTCTCTTTTTCACACACGCTTTAAATATAATCTTAACTCTGGTGATATTCCTAGAAGTATATATTAAAAGCAACCAATCTCAGTCTGTCACAGTTATTTAAAAACTTTCTTTCCCTGCAGTACTTTCCAATAAAAGCTTTACATGATTAGCAGACGACAGCAAGATAAGAATACAAAACAAAGACTCAACATATTTGTGATTTTGGTTTTTAGACTGCTACGACCAACCCTGTAAACTCTGAGAACACACTTTAACCTCCTGCAATCTATTTTTCTTCCATAAAAAATATTTTTATTAATCTATAATCACATAAATCAACACTTACACTTGACAATTAGGCATCAATAGATTTCAAGAATCTTAATCTTTTACAATTAAGACTCCCTATGTATGTGTAATATTCCTGAAATTTATATTTCACTTTATTTAGCTATAACAGTGCTGGGATCTTAGTAGGTACCCAATGAGGTGACTAAAATAAAAATTTTTAGAAGTTGTAATATCAGTTATATAGTTAACGAATATTTGAACAAATCAAAATGACACATTTTGCAAATCATGTCATACTATGTTCTTCTCTGAAGTGACTCAATACATAACAATACCTTAGCTTTTGGTGTAGCTTTAATTGTCCATATGCAGTCAACTGCTTGGCCAGGTTTTGTTTTCTCTTCTTGTTCTACCTGACTAGAACGCACTATTCCATCAGCTCCTGAGAGCTCAAACTGGCAATCTAGAAAGAATAAATGAATAATGTTCAAAGGAAAATAAGATTGATCGAACATGCCATGAGGAAAAAGTGGTAATATACTAAACCTGGGATGGGATTTAAAATACCTCCTAGGTAAGTAAAGTCTGGATCTGTAACAGAAAAAAGAAGAAAGTGATTAGTACTGAGATAGTTACCTCAAGGGTTAACATTTCAAATTACACCCAATGCTCCATTTAATAGCAAGGTGAGAGGAGCTTTCACTGGTGTGGAGCACACATCACTGGTCATTTATGAACTCACTTTCGGGATCAACAAACTTTTGATCCCATCATGAATTAATGATTTATGTATTTGACCTGAAAACTCACCAACTGTCAAAAATAGTAGGTAGTCCGCTGACAGATGAACAAAATGTGGTACATACAACATAATGGAATATATTCAACATTAAAAGGGAATCAAATTCCTTTTTGCTGAATCATTAAAATTTGTCTTCTAAACTTTTGCTTAAATGGTAGCGGTGATGGTTGCACAACACTGTGAATATTCTTATTGCCACTGAATTACACACTTAAATACGATTAAAGGGTAAACTTTATGTTATGTATATTTTATAACAAAAATAATGATGATGACCTCT